TTTCTCATCACTAATTCACCTCTCAGCTCCTTGTGGTCTGGCTTCCAAGGCACAGTATGTGATAGAAAGGAAAATCTCGGAGGTTACTCACACTTGGGCTGAGGAGAGCTGTCTTCCCTAGCCCCCATCCCCCTCTCTCTCATACCCACATCCCTGTCTCGTTCTACCCTTCTCCCATTAACTTATATAATCCCTGTGGCCCCCCACTCAGAACTCTGGATGTTTGGGATTTAATTTTGTATGTACAAATTGTCTTCCCCACCAATGAAATATAAGCTCATTGAAGCAGCTGGTGGTACCATAGTAGATAGAGGAACAGGCCTGGTGACAAGAAAACCTGAGTAGAAATCTAGCTTCAGACACTTACTAGCTGTGTGGCCCTGGGCAAATCACTTTAACCTCTGTTTGCCTCAGTTTCCTCATTTGTAAAATGGTGATAATAATAGCACCTACCTTTTGTGGTTGTTTTGAGGATCAAATGAGATATTAAAAAAAAAAAAAGTAGAACACTGTATATAAAAGCTTATTCCTTCCCCTCTGGACCACCTCCCTTTGCCCCAGCCCCCTCTGCCCCTTCATTGAAGTCAGGGACTGTTTATTATTTTGTCTCTGTTTTCCCATCACTTAGCACAGAATAAGCACGTAATGCTATTTGAAGTGTATTTTGAAATGCTTGATCTGATGGCATTTTCTCCATCCTTTTCCTTTTTAAGCCTTCTCACAGTACAACCAGACAGGACCATCTTCCATCTTCAGGCATTTAACACAGGCTGTTCCCAGGCCTGGAATGCCCTCCCCTTTCACCTCTGCCTTTTAGAATCCTTAGCACAGGCATCACAAAACTGCCCACCCCCACTCCCGTTCCCCCCATTACCTTCCCTCTAAGTATCTGTGTATATGTCTCTTTACTATACACCTGTGTTGTTTCTTTCCCCCATTACCTGTGCGCTGAGTCTCCATCCCCCACCTCCATTCAGTCAGTGAAAGGTAACTCCCTTGTGTACAAGGCTTGTTCCCTTTGTCTTGGATGCCTAGTGTTTGTGCAACAGGTGCTTAAGGAAATTAGTTTTTTACACTTCCTAGCTGTGTGACTCTGGGTAAGTCACTACTTAACCCCAATTGCCTCATATAAAACAAACAAACAAAAAACCAAGAAAATTAGTTTTTTTTTCCAATGAACCAAATTTGTTTTATTTCAATGAGTTTTTTAAAGCCTGCAGCAGAATTTATTGAAGTTGTTTTCAGAATGGAACGNATTTGTTTTATTTCAATGAGTTTTTTAAAGCCTGCAGCAGATTTTATTGAAGTTGTTTTCAAAAAAAAAAAAAAAAAGTGGAACCCAGTAAAAAGAAAATGGTGGTTTCAACTGTTAAGCTGTGAGGCCTTGACGATGAATTCTGCAGTTACACGGAAGTTGGAGGGTGCAGGGGAACCCTGAAAATGGCTGAGTTAAGGGTTCAAAAACTTGGCCCAGCACAACCTCCGCTGGGGCCTCTCCCACTGCCTCCGCTGTCAGGATCTTTCTTGGAATCAGGGTTGCCATCGCACCAGGGGCCCTGGTTAGGTCTTCTCAGGTAGACGATTGCCCGGTCTCGCCGCAGGTTTCGCAGAGGCTGGTGCTGCAGGCCATCTGGCGGTGCCGAGTTTTCAGAGTGCTGGTGTGGATCTACAGCCTCTCCGAATAACAGCTGGCAAAGAATCTGCCAGCCACACATCTCCTGGGCGTGATTAAGGTAGGTTTGAAGCTGGGAACAAAGGTGATCTAGGTATCCTTGCGATCTTCCTGGATTGGCACTGAACGCAGTGGCTTCGTCAGGGAACACAGGAAGGCAGAGCTCTAGGTCTGAGCTCAGGGCACTGAGCAGCTGGTGGGCGGAGCGAATATCCCGGAAAGAGAAGAGACCCGTCCGGATGGTTGGTCTTTGAGCTTCAGCACCAACAGCCTCTTCACTATCCAAAGGTAGAACCAGCACCGTCGGCAGGGGTTCTTCTTCCATGACCTCTATCTCCGAGCTGAGCTCGAATTTCAGCTCCTCCTCCGGCTCTGCATCTACTAAGGATTCTAGGTCCTCTTCCTCCTCCTCCTCCTCCTCCTCCTGCTCCCGCTCCCCCGGCCCCAACAGCTTGAAGATGGTGATGATCTCGTCCTCATCCTCGCTCACGGTGTCCTGGAGCTCCAACTCGATCACCTCCAGGTCATCATCGTCGCAGTCGTCGTCATCCAACACGGAGGCATTGCTAGAAGCGGCAGCGGGGACAGCAGTGGCACTGCAGCCATCCCTCACCTCGGCAATCTCACTGGCTGGCGGCAGGGCCTGGAACCACACGGCCGCACCCTCCGGCAGCACCGGGGGGGTTCCGAACGGAGAGTCTCCCGGAGGGTAGGCACTGTGGGTGGGCCCCGAGGGTTCAGCTGCTGGGGCCAGCAGCTCAGCCAGATTTCCATGGGCGTCGTGACTGTTTCTTGTATTGGCTGCGACGGCATCTGCTGCGAACCTGGTCACGCCCTCCGCGGTGGCTTCCACGGCAACGACTGCAACCACGGCCCGCGTGGCGGAAGACGAGGCCTCCCTTTCTTCGCTGCTGGGGCTACGTCTCTGCGCGGAGAGGTCGTGGCAAGTAATGGCGAACCTACCCTCAACCTCGTTCCAAGTTACTTCGAAGGCGAAATTGTGATTGTTTCGCCAAGCCAAACAGTGAGGGCATAGCCCAAAGCAATCAGCCTGATCCATAATGGCTGCTGACTTTGGTGGTTGGCAGAGAGGCTGAGATAATCAGAGCGGATCTGGGCCTAAGCCATAGATACTGGGCCTATAGCCGGCGGGAGCGCGGATAAATGCGACCGCCTCCACCGCCTCCCTCAGCCTCTCTGAGCTCTCGGTAACCCAGCTGACCAAATAATACGCCCAAGTGGTTTGTGTGGCCACCCACGTCACTAGGTAGTTGCTGGGGCAAACCACCGCGGGGGGGCGGGGGGGGAGGAGAAAGAGGCACACCTCAAGGTCCGGGCAAGCAGCGAGAAGGAATGCTTGTGGCCTTAGGCAGCCTTTGGTTTTGGGGTCCCTTAAGTCTAGAAACATGGTACGGGGAGAGTCAGCCTTTGCTGGTAACGCCAGCACTGCCCAGAGTAAATCACCATTTGCTCATTGCACATAATAATTGACATTTGCCTACCCCTTTAAGATTTCAAAGGGTTTCCCATACATTGTATCATTTGCTTTGAGTATGCGCAGAGGCGATAGCTCTAGCAGTTTGGTTCCAAAATCAAAGCACATGAAGTTTAGAAGAAGGCCTTTAGAGATCTTCTAGGCTAAGCCCACCCCTTTCCCTTGTACAGATGGGAAAGCTGATTCCCGGAGAGGTTGAATGACTTGCCCAAAGCCACACAACAAAATTCACATGATAGAATTGAGTGGAGGGAAAACACAAAAGTGCACAATTAATATCAAATGTAAATGGATTAACCTCCCCAGTGAAATGAAAGAAAATGGCAAACCAAAAAATAAAGGCAAACACTCTGTTGGACAAAGAGAGATTGTTTTGGTAGGATATTTAGATTCTTTAGCTGTTCCTTCTTGAAATCTATACATTGTAAATATTCTTCAAATCAGACCTATTTTTCAAAATATTGTGTAAATGGCACTTTGGGGAAATCTCTTCTCTTCTCTGGGCCTGTTTCTGTCTCTATAATGGAAGATGGTTGAAATAGATCTCTAATGGTCCTTCCAACTTTGACAGTCTATCATTCTGAGATTTGGGAGGGTTAATAAATTCTTTTTCAAAGCTGTGGGCTTTGAGTACTTCCTGACTGTGTTCCCCTTAATTACTTTGAAAGGGCAGCATTAGGGTAAAGGTCCAATGACCACTACTTATGGGATGTTGTAGATAAGAGGATTCTTGTTCGCGTATGGATTGACCTAGATGGCCTCTAAGGGGTCTGACAGCCCACATTTTAGGATTGGCCTGGCAGGGACCATCGGGCTCATCTAGGCCAGTGGTGTCAAACTCAAATAGAAACAGGGCCAGTAATCTATATAATATAAGGATCCTTGCAGACCATATTGACTTAGCTTTAAAACATAATGTTATCTAGGTTTTATTTTGTATTATCTATATATTTTTATGTTTTTATTTATTTCATTAAATATTGCCTAATTATCTGATTTGGGCCCACTCAGAAGTGTTTTGTGGGCTACGTGGGGTCTGCCCAGTGTTTGACATCTCTGGTCTAGGCCAACCCCTTCATTTCACAGAAGAGGAATTTGGAGCTGGGAGAGAGGAAGTGATTTGCCCAAGGTCATATAGGTCATCAAAGGCAAAGAAGATTCTTAAAATTAATTTCTCTGACTCCTAAGGCCATACTAATTTTGGTGTTTCTTGAGGGGAGGGTTGGGTTTTTGTTTTTTCAAGGCAATGGGGTTAAGTGACTTGGTCACACAGCTAGTAGGTGTCAAGTGTCTGAGGCCACATTTAAACTCAGGTCCTCTTGACTCCAGGACCGGTGCACTATCCACTGTGCCACCTAGCTGCCCCAAGGCCACACTGTTTTACTCTACTGTCTCTTGAGAAATAGATGAGAAAACAAAATCTAACCTTTTGCTACATGTGAGAAACAGAGCTAAAACATAAAGACACACACAGAGTGAAAATGGGGGAGATAGGAGTGGTGGAAGAAAATATACCATGCCTTAGACAATTCCAGAAAAGCACGAGTTGCGATCTTGATTTCAGAGAGGACAAGAGGCAAAACCAGTCATGTCAAGTGAGATAACCCAGACAAATGCCATTGTGCTGAGAGGTATGATAGATCATGTGATACCATCTTGATCAAATATACACAGCTGGAGC